TAAAATGCTCAGAATAGTACTTTAATTAGCACAAGGTACATCTTATTAGTATTAACATAAACTAATAAGTTTTTTTTAATCCAATATGCTTATGACAATTTGCTTTTCTACTAAATAAATTCCAAATTCCTAAACCTGGCCTTACACACTATTATGTCCTAATTTACCTTTCAAGCCAGATCTCCCACTACTTCATTACATAAACCTCCTCCAATCTATCCGGTCTATACTGCTTCACTAGCACAACCTGGGTGTTACAACACATGCTTACCCTCATTTTTTCCATCTACAATACTTTGTATTTGGTCTGACTCTCTTTCAGAGTACACCGCCCTTTCTTCGGACTATAGAGGCTACCAGTGACCTCTTCACACCAGGCCCGCCTAACCAGTCTCCTTCTGAATATCACTGTTCCCTTTACACAGCTCTAATCAGAGATTTCCTGAACTCTACCATAGTTATACATTTACTATTACCTCCTCAACTAAAGCATTATAAACTCTTAAAAGAGACACGCTACTTAAAACCTACAACACTCGATACTGTTTTGTAGACCACTCTCCTTAAACTTTTTCCTCCCAGCGCTTCAGGATTATTACACTTTCTTAATTCTCTTCCCAACTCTGAGGGATCTAATTCTACCTCCTTTTCCTCAGCCTCTGCCCACCCCCCCATTCTAAATATTCTATTCTAAATCTATCTCGAATTTCTTCTCTCCTTCTTCAATGACATTTACTTCCAATTCCAATCACAGTTATACAGAGTACCAAATTATTATTTCTAGCCTCAACTTCTCAAACTTTATAGTTGTCTACTTCATTGGATTTATCAGACAAAATATATAGCCAAAACATGGTTTGTCTTCAAAGCTCTGCACTCCCATTCCAACTTGCTGCTTTCTCTATTTCTGTTGGTGGCACCGTAATTCATCTTCCCACTCACTAAAATCTCAGTCTTAGGTAACCTCATCCTCCCTAAAACCTCAGGTGACCGTATCCTCTTATTTTCTCTCTTCATTTAAACCACTTCATGCACCCTAAATTTGAGCCATTAAAAATATTAATATTAAATTTCCACAACACTTTTTCAATCATTTGCTTCTTTTCTATTCCTTTGGCTTCTATCCATATAGTATAGTGGTTAAGAGCATAGACAAGTCAAATTTCCCTGGTTCGGATTCTAGCTCCCAAAGTGGATTGGCTTTGGATAAGTTCCTAAACCCAGGAGCCTCATTTTCCTCATGGCCAGAATGATTAAGTTTCTACTTCAAAAGGCTGTCATGAGGATTAAAATGAGATACTATGTGTAAAGTGCTTGACACACAATAACTACTCAGTAAGTATTAGCAGCTTTATTGTGGTTTTCACTCCAAGCCTAATCATTACCTCTTGCCCAGATTCCTGCAATAATATCCCAAACTGGCCTCACTGCTCTGAGTCTCTCTTAACTACAATGCTACCCACTGCTCTCATAATCTTCACATATGCATCAGTCAGAGCTTACGTAGCATTTCAACAAGGTCAGTTGGGATATACAAAGAAATGTAACAAGGCGTATTTTTAATAGGAAATAGTTTTATGTCACTAGACTAAATGGTATAGAAAGGGGAATGATAATTGATAAGGTTGAAATGATAAACATACTAGAAAGCAGGTCCTGAATTCCAGGTACAGAATTTCAAATTTAAGAATTTAGTAAGGGAGAATACTGGAAGAAGTACCGCACTTACCATTTCCCCAAGGTATTTAAGGAGCAGAGCAGTCAAAGCAAATTTAGTCAGATTATTGCTTAAGTTGGGTTAAATTCTTCTGCAATTTACTTTAAGTAGCTAGAGTATCTGTTTATTGTTACAAATTCGTTTAACAAACTTTTTCTTCATTTGATCAAAACTGTAGTTGCATTCTTCTACAAAATAACTAAGACTTGGGCTATTTAGATATATTTAGGGCAAATAGAAGAACATTATTCAAAGCTATTGATATAATAAGACTTCAAATTAAATAAATACTCCATATCTGTTTTCTATGTGTTAACAATGCTAATGCTTTATTACAGTTCAATTATTTCATTCTTTCAATGACTTCTTCAACATATGGTTTTAAGACTACTTTTTATATATCAAATTTAGGTTACTAGCCAAAAAAGCAAAAACCCGTGTGTCACTGTTAAGAGAGATTTTAATAAATCATACTTGAAAACTTTTAAAATAAATAGTTATAGTTGGGTGTTAATTTTGAAATACGCTATTAACTTTTTTGCATAAATATAGCAAATGAATATATAAAAATTAAAAACAATTGTTTTCTATTTGCGCTACATAAATTTATATATTAAAAGACCACTAATTAAAAAATGAAGTGCGCAAGCATAGCTTTCTTTTTTAAAAAATTTTTTATTCTGAGACAGGGTCTCCCTAAGTTGCCTAGACTAGACTTGAACTTGGGATCTTCCTGCTTTAGTCTCCTAATTAGCTGAGATGTTACAGGCATGTGGCACCATGTTCAGTTACATTCTTTTTTTTTTTGGTACTGGGGATCGAACTCAGGTCCTTGCGCTTGCAAGGCGATGGAACCACTGAGCTAAATCCCCAGCCTACATTCTTAATAATATATTAATTTTTTGTCACTAAGTCACTGTCTTAAGGTTTCCTATACTCATTTTTATTCCAATTTGAATAAGACCTTTTTATCTATTCCAACTGCTGCCAAGACAAATGCAACTAAGTACCTACTATATTCATCTAAAACATCTGCGAGTTAAAACTGTCCAACCTTTAAAGAAAATAATTTAACTTTAACACATAATATGCGCACATTTTTCACATTTCCAGATTAAAGGTTACTCTAAGAATGGTGCAGAGTAAAAAGCAAAAAGTCATTAAGACCTGAAGTAGCATGTAGTATATACACCACGTGCCAGATGTTTAATCATGTGCAAATTAATCTCTGAGCCTGTTTCTTCATCTGCAAAACAAGAAAAATATCTACAGGGCTGCTGAAGGAATAAATGAACTATGTATTTAGAGTTCTGAATATATAACAGGCCTGGCCCACCTTCACTAATATCTTACCCTTGCAGGCAGACCGTAAATGAAAACCAGCTCCACAACTTACTAACAGTGTCATAGTAGGAGAGCTGTTTAACTGCAATCCTCCTTCTGTTTAAATGGGGTATGTGCTATCCACATCACTAAGGTGTGAATCTCAAATGTACAACTTAATAAAGCATCTACCAGAGAGCCTGAGAAGTCAGATTCCACCGATACTGTTTCTTTCACTTCCTTTCTTCTCAAGTGTGTTCAATGTGTGTGTATCAAGTGGTCCAGAATCTGGCCTGACACACATCCAGAAAGTAGGCCATTTTCCAGTTGGGAGCCTTTGTGAACATACAGCAAAATTTTGACACCTGTACTATAAGCATCCTCTGTTTCAAGTGGAAAGAAGATGTTTATCTCATTCTCTGCCTTCCATTTTGTACATACTGCTTTTCCACAAGGTTACTACAGAAGTTTCCATTTTTCTACAGAAATAGCCTTCCTTCATTTACCCTCCAAATAGATATTATATTTAGTATGCTGCTTAAATTAAAACCAAAATACACATATTATTTACATTGCTTTTCTCAGTAGGAAATTTTAAAAAACAGTAACACTTTGTGCTCCCTCCTAGGTGATATGCCACATGTTTAATTCCAAAGAAATTTTTAAAAATTATATTATTTCAAAGGGATTATATTTATTGCCAATACTAGTTCGATTTCAAAGCATGACAATTAAAATAAAATTAAGACTATCATAAACATAAAATTACACCCAAATAGTTTCTCCCAAAACTAATTCAAATAATTTTTCAAACACTGAGAGTCACACAAGTCCTGAAAACATTCAGCTGTGTACATGTTTAAAGAGTATATCTGAATTAAACCATTTACTCACCATCACTATCCAAAACAAAAACCTGTGTTTAACAACCGCAGAAAAGTTTGTAAACACTGAGTAACTTTTCAATAAATATTTTATGTAACCAAAGCTTATTAGCTACCAAAAAGAAATCCTGCAAAATTACTCTTGAAACTTATCAGACTAAATTACAGGAGCATCTTCCAATGAAAAGCCAGCTCTCTTAATTTTTTAAGCATTCCACAACATGGAATCCTAAAGTAACAGCTAAGGAATTACAACCAGAGGCCCTTTTCCTGTTATTCCGAAAAGACTGGGTCACGGAGGGAGCGTTTAATTACCACTGTCTTATAGAACTTGTGTCTCCAGCACATGGCCTCGAAAAATGCTAAAAAATTTCCCAAAGGAAGATGGTTTTGTTGCTCTACATTAACGAAGTCAAAATACATTCGGAGAGAGGAATACGCCTCACTGATAATACGAAATGAAAACAGCACCGTATAGTCAGCAAACTAACCACTGGTTCTCATAAATGGTTCATAACAACCTGAAATGTGTACGGAGGGCTGATGCAGGCATAAAGAATGACAACAAAAATTAATACTGCACTTCAGCACAGGCCTCTCTCCATCTGACGGATTCTGAATAGCAGCTACCATTACAAATGTCAAAATCGACACAGTATAGTGTACTGTCCACCTTCAACCAACAATAAAGAAACCAACTCAGATTTCTTGGTAGTGTAATCACAATTATGACTGAAGGGGAAATGTATGCAGAACAGCGAGGAAAACACCACAAATTAAAACCACTCTGTAAAAACAAGGCAAATTCCTCGCCAAATAAAAAAGAAACCTTTTGCCATCCAATAAAAGGTACCTGGTCAAATTCAACCTGACCATGTGCGGGGGAGGGGAGCCTTCACTGATGCCCGAATCTGCTTTCTTTTATTTTTTCTTTCTTCCCCCTCGTCCTAGTCTCCTATCATTTCCCTGAACCTGAACGGGAAGACACTCATGGAGGGGGATTTGAGAATCAGAAAACTAAAACCAGGCTGTGGACACCACCCGGAGGAAGGGGAAAGGGAAGACCCTCCACTTACCTGTCCCAAAGGCTTTGGCCACCAGCCAGGCCAGATTGCAGGCGATTTTGGCCCTGGAGAAATCATAGTGGTCGAAGGGCTTGATGGCTGGTACAATGAAGGTCTTTCTCATCTCCCTGGGGTCCGCAGCATCCCCCATCTTTCCCGGGGCTCCTCGGGATGGCAGGGCTCTAACCTTCACATGCTGTGGCCTCGCCGCCGCGGGCGTGGGGAGGGCCGGAGAGGCGAGCTCCGAGCATCGGGGCCGGGGCAAGGCCCGCCGGGAGCCGGCGACCGACTAGGGAGCTCAGCGCAGCGCCGCGAGCCCGCCGCCTCCCGCGGGACGCGCTGCCCCCGGGAACAGGAATGTGGTGGCGTCGAGCCCGCGCGTCCGTCCGTCCGTCCACCCGCCCCGCGAGCGCGCGTGTAAGCGAGGCCGCCTCCCCTTTGTCTCGGTTTAGTCACACGGGCTTGGGGGAGGGTGGAGGCTGGAAGGGCCTGGAATTGTAAGGCGCGCGGGGAGGGGGAGCCTTAACAATCACGTTGTGGAAAATGTCCCCGCCATGGCGATGCCCGCGCCCGGCCTCGCTCCCCTCCCCTCGCCTCGGAGACCGGGACGCCTCGGGCCGCGCGCGGGTGGGCGGAGGGCGCGCAGGACGCGGGGAGAGCGCGGGGCCGGCTGACCCACCCAGCGCAGCAGGGCCGGTTGCCCCGGCCGAGGAAAATGTCAAAATCACGGCGGTGCCCAGGCAGCCGGCCGCCCGTTCCCTCCTCGTCCTCCTCCTCCGGCCGCCGTCGCCTCCCGGCCCTTCTCCCCGGCGGGCCGCAAAGGCGGTGGCCTGGAAGAGCCCGCAAATCTCAAGCTCTCGGATCCTGCCTTATCAGGTAAGCCCCTGAATCTTTTTCCGCCCCCCGTCGACGCCCCGTTGGGTCGTTCCCCCCTCTCTCGCCGTCGCAGCCGCCACCGCCGCTGCGGTTTTCCGGCTGCGGCAATGGATGGAGAGCAGATATGGAGACTGAGCATGCGCTTGCGGCCGGCGCGGCCCCCGCTCGCGCTCTCTTCCCTCCCGCCGTCCAGATCCCGGCTCCGCGCACTGAGCATGCGCCGCCTTCTTCCCGACCCGCGCCAGCCCTCCGTGCGGGTGCGGCTGCCTTTTAATCATCGCTTAGGAGCCAGTGCTCGCCTGAGTGGGCATCCTCTGTGCCCCAGGCTTCGGCTGCTGCTGTTTGCGCTGCGAAAGAGGGAAGGAAGGGAGGAGACAGCGGCCTAGCAATGGGCTTTATATTCTGCTTACACAGCGGTTTGGATACGTATTTAAAATGCTTATTATGGGATATATATATTGTGCTACGAATTTGAACTGTGCGATCCCATTTAGTCCTCGGCAGGTGTTATCCCTGGCTCATCATGAAATTACAAAGTGAGTTAAGCACACAGGAGGCTTAACCAGGATTGAAGATCATGTTTGAAGACTCTCAACCTATGTTAATATCGTGATACTAAGACCCTTTCTTATCTCAATGGTCCCCACTTAGACTTCCTAAGAGGGAGGGCTATGTCCACAAGTGCCTCCCTGTTCCTTCAGGAAAAAAGCACAAACCCTTTCACAAAGCAAACTCACATCCCTTACAGTCCGCATCTAGAAATCTAAATAGCTCCATTTTGCTGGAACCCTCTCCGTCTTCCCAGATGGCCATGCTTTCTCGGATCTCTGTGTCCTCGCTCAGGGTGGCCCCTGTCCACTCCTCTACCTTCAAGCCCTTCACGTAGGCACTCCCTCTAGGAAGCCTTCCCTGATTGTTACTGACAATTTTCTGGTCCAGCCTGTCATGGCGGTACTACCACTTCTCTGTCTTTCCCATTGATGACGTGATGGCATAGTTTACCTCCAGTACCTATATGGCACCCAGCCTATAGTGGTCTCTCAATGCTTAGGGACAAAGGGTGAGTGTTGTCGTAGTCCATTCGTATTGAGCTTACTTAACTAATTCCTCACTTCTTATTTTAACGCATTAATCTTAATTATTATAAAATCCTGTGTGATCTTCTTGTTACAGAGGAGAAAACTAAGATTAAAAATTTACATTACCCCATATTGTCCAACTAGTTCAGGCAGGCCTATGATTTGAACACATAACTATCTTATTCCAGAGCCTATACTTTGTACTACTAGGGCCTCCCTATTATAATCATCAGCCTTTAAGATAATAGCAAGACAGGGCCGGGGATTTAGCTCAGTGGTTTCGCCGCCTGCCGCACAAGCGCAAGGCCCCCAGTTCAATCCCCGGTACCAAAAAAAAAAAAAAAAGATAAAAGCAAGACCATAAAGCATGAGGGGAGGACCCTATCTAAAACGTCAGCTCCTCCAGCAAACCTGCCCTTCAATTCTGCTTGATCCCAGCAAACACTCCTCTTTGATCCTAGAGAGGTGCTACAGATAAGCGTTCAACCTGGGATAGGAAAAGAATGTCAGTAAGACTGATAATATATCTCAGGTGGTTGCCTGTGGCAGGTGTAATCTCTTCAGTAACTCAGAGTTTTTTTCATGGGCAAGGTCCTTTGCTAGATCACATGGGGATAATAAAATCAACATATCGATACTAGTTCTTGAAGTAAGTTCAGATAACTAATTTCCACATCCATCCTATGATGGTCTTTTTATCTTCCAATTCTTTTTTTTTTTTTTTTTTTTGGTGCTGGGGATCGAACTCGGGTCCTTGCACTTGTGTAGCAGGCGGCGAAACCACTGAGCTAAATCCCTGGCCCTATCTTCCAATTCTAAAAGCAGAAGTGAGGATCTTAGAGATTAGTGGCCAAATTCAAGCACAGGTCTTATGACTCCACTCTTAAGCACCAGTCCCTGTGCCTGCTCCCTCTCCAAACTGTAGTGTCAGGTGTGTACACAAGTGAATAATAACAATATAAAACTGCTAAGTACTGTGATAGCTATAGAGTACAAAGAGAATATACAGATGAAGAGCTTGGGAGGATTTCTTGGAGATTTCTGTTTAATGTTCTCAAATCCACCTTCCACTGAATTGTAGAGCACACAAAGCAGGTAAAAGAAGCCTATATCCTAAAAAGTTGAAGAGCAATACTGAAGTAATTTGCCAGTCAGCATGAGAATTTGCAAGCAGAAAGGTTTTCAAAGCCAAAAAAAGGTAACTGGTCACTTTTGTGTTGCATGTAATCTAGCATGGTGCTTTGCTCAGAGTGAGTGTGGGGTACATACTTGTTGAATTTCATTGAAAACTATTTCAACCTAAATAAATAAAATGAGGAAGAGATGGAAATAAAGACAGTTGCTGCAACTTGTCTCTTGATTCAGCCGTGATGCTTTAGTAGGGATGGCATTTCTATGACCCCAATTGGGACGAAGTGTGTTTAGGAATGGGGAAAAAAAGTACCTGAACAATGAGCAGCTTTTACTTTCAGGGAGGCTGTGAAACCACTCGGGGTCATGGTAGGAGGCCATTATTAACAGGGAAACACCCTGAGTACAAAAGAAGGATTCATTTTCAGGGAGACAGACACTCTAATAAGGTGTTCTTTGTGACACCTTCAGAATGATCCTTTTAAAACTGGAAATCTCTGTAGACTATCACTGTCACAAAGAGGCACTCTCTACTGCCTCCTTAAGATAGCTGACTTTGTCCACAGCACAAACTGTGATTCTTTGGACCTGCTGGTCCAGCTCCCTCTATATCTCCAGGCCCAGAGTCTCAGTGCATTGGGCAACAGTTACACTTACTCCACAACCTTCCTCTCTCTGCTTTAAGTGTTTCTCTTTTTCTGGAAATCCCAAAGTGCCAGCCTGACTTCTTTCCTTATGGCCATTCTCTACTTCTGTCTTTGGATGGATTCATACATTTATTAATTCACCGCTGGCTGCCTCACAAGCGGAAGGACCTGAGTTTGATCCCCGGTACCAAAAAATAAAATAAAATAAAATAAATTTATTCATTCAGCAGCCAGTATTGATTGAGCATGGCTCAGGATGCCATGTTGAATGGGTGTTATGGTTTGGATCTTAATTGTCTCCCCAAACCTCATATGTTGAAGGCTTAGTCCTCAAACAAGCTATATTAATGCTATTGGGAGATTTGGACCCTTTGAGAGGTGATGGAAATTTCAGAAGGTGGGGCCTACTTGGAAGAAGTTGGGTCATGGGAGTGTACTCTTGAAAGATGTATGGGGATCCTGGCCCCTTCCTTTTTCTCTTTGCTCCCCAGCCACCAGGAGGTGAGTAGCTTTGCTCCACTAAAATGGTACCTTGGTTCATGAATGCTTTTGTTTGCAAACAATTTGGTTTGCAAACAGAATCATTTGGCAAAATTTTGTTTTTGTTTGAAAATTCTGTGTCGGGTGATAAACATGACTGCAGCTGTCTTTCCCACACAAACACAAACATGGCCATCTTTTCCAAAATCATAGAACAAATTAAGTTTGTGAACTGAGGTACCTCTGTACATATTCCCTGCCATGATGTTCCACCTTCCACAGACCTGAGTGATGGGCCCAAGCAATACTGGACTAAGACCTCTGAAGCTGTGAGCGTAAATAAAATTTTCCTCCATTTAAGTTAATTTTCTTAGGTATTTTGTCATAGTCTCAGAGAGCTGACTAACACAACAGGACAGCTGAAGAATCAAACTCTTAGAGAGAAACCTAGAGCCTGTGTGGCCTGGGTAGCCCAGCTCTCCTTCATTCTCACGCTGTTGTTACTTCACCTATGGAAATCTTCAGTGGACTCCCTCAAAAGAAGAAAAAACTGAACCAGGAAGCACTCATATTATTTATCTTAATAGGAAGTATGTATCCATATGCTACCATTCACTTTCAACTAGGTACAATAAAAGCAGCTAAAACTGAGCATTTGCTATGTGCCAGGCTGTGTTCTATATACATTAACTTACTTAATCCTCACCGAGCCCTATTATTTTCCTCATTTGGTGGATGGAGAAACCAAAGGGCAGAGAAGTTAAGTGAAGACCTTGTTATTCTGAAACTGAAGGAATTAGAATAAGTGAATTTTGAATCAACTAGGTTAAGAATGAGGGCTGGAAGTGTAGCTCAGTAGCACAGTGTGCACTCAGCATGCCACAAAGTTCTGGGTTTAATCCCCAGCATCAAAAACAAACAAACAAAAAGATCTAAGGGTAGCAAGTGGGGGAGTGCTTAGCTAACTGATGACAATAGGGGGCTTATGAGATAGAAGTGTCTGTGCTGTATATCTGACAATCTCATTTCTAGACACAGTGTGGCTTTCATCCGAATAGCTAACAGATTTTTATAAGGGTTACCTCATCACCTTCACAACGATTCCAGCAAAGCCTGTGTGGTTTGATGTCAAAGTGTGTGCCTGGAACAGCTAAAACATGGAGAGGTGACATAAATTCTTGAAGTTCCACTGTGAGTCAGTGTCTTCACTGAACGTGGCACCTGGCCGTGGGATTCCCAGGTATAGCACTAGGATTTTCCCACATCTCTAAAACATTTTCCTTTATACATTTCCTGCTCAAATGAAGTTCCCCTAGCCTCCAAAAATGGGTAAAGCTTCCATCATTTTTAAACAC